TGAAGGTTAATCTAAAACCTACTCTATCTTTGCCCGGAAGGTCTTTCTTCTATTCCTGTTTTAGAATAATTTTTATTTGTTCTTTTTCCAAAAAAGTTGATGAACTTCTTCCAATTCGTCTTGTCGGATAGTGCTCTATTTTGGGATACTTTCTTTTTGTTTTTGTCTTTTGCTTTCTCACAATCTTAATAGCAAAGCAGACTCTCACTTTTATTTATTTATTTTATTTCTAAAAAACAATACACTTCTTTTTTCTTTTTTCTTTTTTCTTAACTTTCAATAATTGTTTTTAAATAATAATAATTGTAATCCAAGCCATTCCATAGTCATTGCCCATATTCCAAATCTGTCATAACAATTCGAAAGCCTGGTCTCACAGCCAAGGTTTTACTTTTCTTCTGAAGGTTAGGAGGGAGGGGGCTGATCTAATGTCAGTGGGAAGGTAGTTCCATAGCTGAGGGGCCACCACTGAAAAGGCCCTGTCTCTCATCCCCACCAATCGCACTGGGGGTGGGACTGAGAGCAGGGCTTCCTCCGATGATCTTAATGTACCAACCCCTCTACCTTCCTATCACTATCAGCTGCAACCTACCACCTGAAGGAAGAAGAAGCAACCCTTCTCCCAGATTCCTTTGCCAGTTATTTGCCACACAAGGAGGAAGAGAGACAGCCAAGCATGAGGCAGGTTGACCTATCATTGCTGTAGTTGGTCATGACAGGGAGAAAGAGAGTGGGGGAGTGGACAGCCATCCCACATTCCCAACCAGCTAAGGAATACAGGATGGCTGTTGGGATACCACTCATATGAACCAGATGTGGGTGTCTTGATTGCCAAAACTCGGGGGAGAACCCAAATCCTGGAGCAGGATTCAGGTTTCTTCCTGAGTTATTTTAACCTGGGGTGCAGCTGCCAGGTTAGATCAGTCCATGTGCATTGTATAGCTGCACGTGAACTGATCCAAATTCACACTGACCTAAATGTATAGTATAGATGGGGTCATAGTTTTATTTCCCCTTCACATTTTCTCATGGAAACATTTTATGCATCTCTGCCCCTGTCACTGTTAACTTCATTCATTTACTTACCTGGCACTGGTACAAGCACACACCTATCTCATAATCCTATTGCTCAAGAACCTGCTGGGGATACAAGGAATGAGTCAACAGTTCTTTCCTAGATGCACTCCCCTTTTCCGTGGTGACCAATGACTGACGACCTCCTGATATC